GTAGCATGATTTCACCTGCTGACCTGACCGACTAATGAGATCCTGATCCTGGTTGGCATGTGAATACTTAGCAAAGGTTACCGTTATGGTATAATGTCTAGCGCACGTTGCTGTTTAGCAGATCTAGAGAAAATTTCGTTGAGCATCATTGTGAATGTATAAAGCCATTATATTTTTGGTGCATTTAGGCTTGTGTGTATGTGAAGCCAAAGAAATCACTGTGTTGTGTATCTGACTGAAATGTGTGGACAAATAACCAGACTAAATGTTTGGGGGAATTCTTTGCGATACATATATGTACACATAAGTTCTTTGTAGGGTGATTTTGAGATGCCTAATTCGTGCATTAATTAGTGGTTTGTGTTAATAAGGGAGCGGCTTAATGCTAATCCAACGACGGCTTAGCAGTTTATGCGTTACGGCATAGCAGCGGTTAGCAGCTGTTAGTTACGGCATAGCAGCGGTTTTGCAGTTACGGCGTAGCAGCGGTTTTATGGTAATGAAACAGAAATTTAGTCGAAATCCATCAATGCCTTTGTAGTGAGAAGACAATGGCTCTGACTGCACGTCTTTGTCATACAATCAAAGTGATGGAGATGAGTGTAACCCGTATAGTATATAGGAAAATAGTTCAAACTACGCCTATTCCCACCAACCAAGAAAATATACTATGTTTAGTATAGTATCACCAGGAGTGAATAAAAAAGTGTGTTTTTCAATTCCTGGTACTACTCCTGAGTCCTGCGTAGTCTATTCCGATGGCGCATAGGCCTACATGTACGCGATCCATATTGCATGGCTGTATCTAAACAATAAATTAAGGCGTGCCAAGGCCAGCTTCCCTATCACACGTGCAGAGCGTGTGTGTATGTGTGAGTATGTGTACATGTAAACACAAGTGCGTACCGATACATGTAGTATGTCATTCATGTACGTACGTTAGAACGAGGCATTTCAAGGTCAGTGTGTTCGGAAGCACCCAACCCCGAAGATGCCGCTATATCACGTGCGCTACTGAGCACCTAGTTGATCGTATGGTTGACTGAAGAGTGGTAGCGAAAATGTACTGCCGTCTCTGACAAATGTGGCCCCATAAATACTGGCAGAAATTGCTTGTACATTTTCTAAAGTAATAATAAAGGGAGAATTCGTGTCGATTGCGCAAGCCAGGTTGTATGTGTGCGGCAAGACAGTTTGGGCATACATGTCACATGTGTCACAGTAAAGCAATGCGTAGAGGGTGAACGTGATTCCTGATATATATATATATATATATATATATCAGGAGTAGATCCTGATATATACGAATATCATCAGGAATTAATAATGACAAATTTGTCATTATTTTAACTCCTGATATCATATATGTAACGTTTCTTATTATCTTACTCCTGATACTATCCTTTCGTCATACGTTCATCATGTGTTTATGTATACAGGTGTTCGTGGTAATATCATAACATCACTTCAGGATAGACCTAGATAGCCTATCTATATAGATCTATATAGACCTATATAGTCTGTTTAGTATTATTATACACTCCTGATATTATGATACTCCTGGTAATATCTATATTTCCCTATTCGCGTGACCAGTTTGCATGATATAACACAAGGTAACATGCATTCTTGGTGGTGATGAGTGTGGCTTGAGTGGTGGTATGAGTGTGGCTTTTCGTGTCTTGGTAATCGAGAATTTTCAAGCATACACATATATATATATATAGGTACAATAATCTAGTAGATCATGTCCTTGCTCCCTGCACATTTCATTCGCATTTCATGCGCATTCGCTGTTTACATTATTATGAGGTCTTCCTACCAAGTTTGTTCAAGTAAATACTGCCAGGCGATTCTTCCGATTTTCTACTGTGATTTCTGATGGACACTACTGCCATAGGTGATGAAATTTCGTACACGTTTCATGATAGGTAAGTCTTGGATATTCTCAAGTTGGAAGCTTGTTGTTTGAAAGAGGTAAAAAGGCAGCAAAATGTTTGCACTGTACTTGTTGCTTCTATGAAACGGCCGAGAAGGAGCGTAATTCTACACAAACTTCGGGAATGCGCGTATCTCTCCATCCACCAGCGCTTGTAAACGGTCTCGAGAAATATAATGCACATTCGTATGAATAAAAGTTATTGGTGATTGTTGAATGCATAATTTCCCAAATATAATTAGTGGGCATGCAATAGCAATTGATGTTCCATTATATATTAGGATTATACTGCCTGTACAGAATGCGTGGTATAGATTATAACTGCTACCGATGAAGGCACTCAATATACACTAGTTAGGCAATGCTATACCATAATAAGATGGGCATTGCATTGGTAAAATACTGTATTACCCGCGTAATATGATCAGGTGTGCTCCTTAAAAGTAATTTTACAAATCCTGCCACCCGGATACTAAGATGGTAAGTGTTATGACCTAGTTGCAAGTGTGCTCTTGTGTGAATGGGTGTTTTCCGGGATTGGCATGGTCGCAGGCATGTGACCGTGTGATTTTGATAAGATGACATACTAGTAGTCGTAAGCACGTGGCTCGGTTATTACACCACAGGCGATGTTGCTACGCACATAAGCTATGGTAGTCATAGCACATGGTAGACAGCACAAAGTTCTAAACAAGATAGAATACCTATATGATAAAGACATATTTGTTCTTGAATTAGTGGGTTTTCAATAACCACCGAGTAATACGCATACGTAAGTGAAATCAGGACCAAGATGCATCATATATATATATATATATATATATATATATATCCGAAAGAATTGATTTCACAGGGTAGTGCAAATTTTCTATAACAGGAAATTTGTTGTTAGCAAGAAACCGTCTCGTATCGTTATTGCTAGCCTCTGACGTGTGTTCAGACCAATCACACGCTTCTGTAGCTTCGCCCAGATTCAGAGTCATCCGACGGAGTTGTCGTAAGAGCATTGCGATTATCCACGGAACTTTTGTGCAAAGCAATTTCCAGTCGCAAACGAATGACTTTGGGTGAGTCAAATCCAATTCGGTCGCTGGTACTCGACAAGTTATAAATATCACGACCATTTAAATTTTGTCCATATAAAGATGCATTCTTGAACCAAATCTCGAGATATTGCGCGTGTGCAATCTGCTAGCGGTAGAAGATTGCCTGCTTTTTAGGAATTGGCATTATGGCATTATGTGATGATATCATAAAACTTCTCTTAGTATTACGATAAGTAAATGAGTGACACGGCACGTTCCAAACGTTGAGCGGCTATAGCAGGTAGGAAAGTAAGTTGACATCATATTTTCAGTTTTCACTGATTCTGTTCCAAGTGCCCTGTCTCAGGCCTAATCTCCTTTATCTCGTATATCATGTGCACTATACCTTGCAGTTTAAAAACTCGCGTCTCCCATGTTTTGCATTGCATAACCTGAGACCTGTGTGTCTATGCCCCCCCCCCGATTCAAGCATGTATTGCATCCTGATTTGTGTGCTATACCTCTTGTAAGATTAATTGGATTTAATCGATAAATCATAGTCCTGTGAAATTGTTAGTTTTTTAATGCTGCGGTCTGTAAGCACTAAGCAGCCACGATGGCACCAGTGGAGTGACGGCATTACTTGCATACGTGCACATTAATTACTATAATAAGAAAACCTGAACAATATCGAAATCGTTATATATATATACGGTCAAAATCAACGCTAACCACGCATTCATGAACATTCTGTACCGGGCATTGTTCGGTTATACCAGGAAACCAGAAGAGAAAAGCTAGGCTTTTATATGGCATGCCGAGAGATTTTAGTGTACACGTTTCTCTGTGCGGTGCTTGATTGATTGGTGAGAGGTTTTGTTCACTTCTGTTGGTCACTGTATGAACACATTAGCATAATGTTGTAGTATGTACATTCCAGTTCTTCCATCATGTCCGGTGATGCTATTTTTCTAGTACATTTCATTCATTACACATTGCGCAGGGATAAATAAAACATCTTGTTCTTAAATTATAGATGTGTTTGAGAGCCGTAGCTGGGTGGCTAACTTGAGATAGACTACGCATTACACATTTTACTCATGATACGTGTTAGCTCTATAACTATAGCCCTTCCCTCTGCCACAGGCCTGTAGAAGTGCGTATGGCAGAGCGAAGGGCTATATAGTTCTAGAGCTAGATACGTGTGTGCTACTTCCTTTCTTCTTAGCCTGTTTCCTTTTGCCTTCTTCGCATTTGGTATTTATAGCAAAGTAGCATGAGCACGAAAATACAGCGAGAGATAAATTGAAGCCAATTCATATCTATGTTGTTTGAAAACTCCATGAGTTTACTACACTGGAACTACGTACTAACAGAAGTAGATAATAATAGGCGACTATACTTCCCTAGTATCTACTTCTGATACTAACTACTGAAGTTAAACGTTAACCTCCTGGATAAGGGCACGAGGCATATCTGCAGCTGTGCAAGCTGTTTCTAACTAGGTTAGACACGTGTGCACTGCATAAGCAACCGGCCCAGCATTGTCAGCTGCGTGCATCTTCATGATCAGCTGCAACTGCGGAGGTATGGGAAGCAGCCCAACCCTTTGACATGTGCAAGGTAACCCCTGACACTTCCTTTGGCCACTGGAGTAAACCCACGAAGCAGCCCAACATTTTACATTGTGATCGAACACCATTTTGTCGAAGCGCTATTCATCCGTGTTACTATTTCAGCCTTGACCGAGTTGTTAAAGCAACCCATGATCATGTCCAGAATTTATTTCCATCCAATTTCCTTGAAGGAGCGTAACCTTTAGTATAGTCACCAGCCACACAGATTGGATAAAGCAGTGTAGCACTGGACCATTGGATCCCCTTTCAGCTGCCAAAGTTCAGCAAAGCATCTTGACCTTTGACCTTGTGACCCATTTCAGCTGCACGAGCTCGATCGGGCAGCATAACCTCTGATCTCCGTTCAGCCGCCCGAGCTCAGCGCAGAATCTTGACCCTTGACCTCGCGACCCGTTTCAGCCGCACGAGTTCGACGAGTGCCGGTTCGATATACAAGTAAACGACAACGTGTGGTACCTGCGCTGTGGCGATGGCGACGACCGCCAGCGCTGGGTCGAGGCGCTCGAGAACTACAAGGCCGACTCTGGCTTCGGCAGCGAGAACAACCTGCACCGGCACGGCTCGCTCATCTCTATCACGTCAGCAAACAGCCTGTCAACAACGAGCACCTCGTCATTCAAGGTGAGCCCGGCCGGGTGGGAGCGGGGCGGCGTGAGATGAGCCCGGGCGAGGTGGGGTAGGCCTGGGTGGGGTAAGAGTGGGGAGGTGGGGTAGACCTGGGTGGGGGTAGAATTGGTAGGGTCCTGGGTGGGGTAGAGTGGGATAGGCCTGGGTGGGTAGAGTGATAGGCTGGGTTGGGGGTAGAGTTGGGGTAGGGCCTGGGTAGGGTAGCTGGGGGAGGCCTGTGGTGGGGGTAGAATGGGGGTAAGGCTGGGTGGGGTGAAGAGTGGGTTAAGGCCTGGGTGGGGTAGAGTGGGATAGGGCCCTGGTGGGGAGACTGGAGAGGCCTGGGTGGGGTAGAGTGGGGTATGCCTGGGTGGGGTAGAGTGGGTTAGGCCTGGGTGGGGTAGACTGGGGGAGGCCTGGGTGGGGTAGAATGGGGTAGGCCTGGGTGGGGTAGAGTGGGGTAGGCCTGGGTGGGGTAGAGTGGGATAGGCCTGGGTGGGGGAAGACTGAAGGAGGCATGGTGGGTAGAATGGGGTAGGCCTGGGTGGGGTAGACAGTGATAGGCCTGGGTGGGGAACAAAAGAAAAAAGAATGGGTAGGGCCTGGGTGGGGTAGAGGTGGGTTAGGCCTAGGTGAGTAGGAGTGGGATAGGCCTGGGTGGGGTAGAGTGGGGTAGGGCCTGGGTGGGGTAGATGGGGTAGGCCTGGGTGGGGTAGAGTGGGGTGGCCTGGGTGGGGTAGAGTGGGGGGGGGGCAAGACATGACCAATTACTGAAAAATAAGGTCGGCATGTGGGCTGGGTTGAGAAGTCGTTCAAGTTAACTGCTGCCTGTGTTGATTGGAGGGGGAAAAATGTACGATACTAGCCAGTAAATTGGCTGGAAATATTTACGACTCTTTGTTTCGTTCGTATGATATAACGTGAGTGATATCATGTTACTAAAAAATGGCTAGAGTTGAGGGCTTACGTAATGTCATATAATGTAGCAAAGAGGGCGTGGGCTGAAGGAGAAACTAGCTGAGATGGAGACGTTCAGAGACATCTTGTGTCAGCAAGTAGACACGCTACAGAGGTACTTCGACACCTGCACAGATGCCATGTCTGACCAAAACGACCAGCGAATCAGTAAGTAAAAATAACTAGTCTACTGCTTTGCGCACCTGCCCTCGTCAAACATTTATCTGACTATATTAAGCGTGTGTTGTCGCCCACTATGCCGGTGTCTACCCTATATCCATTAAGCATGCTTCTGAATATCTAAATCATGCCACAGTACACCATCTATTATCCGAGACCCTTGGGACCAGACACATTTTCGGAGTTCGGAATTTTTCTGATTTCGGAATTGTAGTACAGTATAGACTATAGATATACGTACCGTATATCCTGAAAGTAGCTAGTACTAAAACCCAAGTTTTCAAGAGGGCAAGTGCTGTACTGGTACGGTACAATATGTATGAGTAAAGCCAAACACAATTAACATTTCTGCAGAGAGCCTTGTGCAGCCAAACGGGAGCTTTGGTGTGCAGACGACCTCCACGAAAAAACTTTCGGTTTTCAGAATTTCGGATAATAGATTGTGTACTGTATGAAAATTCTTTGTGCGGAGTCATCTATTATTTACACTGTGTGATTTAGGTCCCGATCGCGACGGAGAAATTGATGACATAGACGAGGAGTATGGCATGCCTGTCAACACTGATCACCTTCTTCCCCGCTTCCGCAAGGGTAATGCCAACTACACCTGCATTTATATTAGTTTTGACAAAGGATTAGTGGTGATGCTTACCCTCTACTCTAGAACGTAATACGAGTATCTATTGTTGTGCGTTTTGATTATATTGGACACTGCTAATATATTCTCGAAAATGATCAAAACTGATTTGATAAGTGTTATAGAATGGCTATCAGCATCACATTTAAGATGACCTGCTGACGAGGTAAGAAGTGCGAGAGGAAAACTCGAGCAGGTTTCTCTCGGTTCCCGTGAATGAATACGCGGTTCGTTTATTGTTCGCTACATCCTCCAGTGAGCTCTCTGGTTCTGCACAGATTCGCCATGCTCACAGGAAACACTTGCCGTGCATGCAGCACACTCTATAGACTTCAAGGGTGAAGCAATCACATTTAAAGCAACGACAGCCGGAATAATAGCAACACTATCTCACTGCATAGAGTTGCTCACACAGAGAGAAGACAGCTGGAAGAAGCGCCTTGAGAAGGTGCGTGTGTCGATTGCATGCGATTTTAAACTAGGAAGAAAAATATTATATTTTTAGCAAACTCGATTTATAGTAATCAGATCACTTTATATTACTTCATCAACAATGCCTTTGCAAGTGCATGTGACATAATAATATGGTTATTGTTATAATAATAATGATAATAGTAATAACAATGATGATGTTACTTATCAACAGCATATCAAATGAAAAGTATTGCCTTATTCTTAGTGACTTGTTATTATATGTAAGTGCATCTACTCCTCTATGATGACTTGAATGCTTGTGTTCTTAGCGTGAGGTTTTTAAACACTGGTATTAATACAAAAACTTACAAAGGCAAATGGGTAACCTGATGTGTAAACGAATGTATCTGGCAGGAGCTAGACAGGAGGAAAAAGGTTGAAGAGCTGTACAGACGGGCCTGCGAAAAACTGAAAGCAGAAAAACAGACAAAGCCCATCGTTCGCGGTGGGCCAGATTTTGAGGTATTAGTGTGTGTGTGTTTGTAGGCATGTACAGCCTAGCTGCAGTGTAGTGTATTTACATGTTTTCCACAATCCTGTGTGAACGTTTTATTCTTCAAGAGAAATTGAGCACTTGCAGTTGCAGTCAGGATGACATACGCTCAGTCATTCGAATTATGTCATTCGAATTATACTCAGTCATATCATAACCACTGCCTTTATTATTGCACGTTCATGTATGTTTCTTGGTTGTGCACATACAGGAGGGACCATACAGTGCACTTGCTGAAGACGAGTTCTTTGATGCAGTTGATGCTGCTCTTGACAAGCTAGATAAGGAAGATGAACAGGTGAAAGTGAACCCATGCTTATGATAACTTTTATTGTGTAATATATATTATATATATATATATATATATACAGTGTAGCCCCGTTATAACGCGATGGTTGGGGTCCATAAAATGTCATCGCGAAACAAGCGGGGTCGCACTAAATTGGGGTTATATATATACGTGGCTATATAAGAGCAAAAAAAGGGGGTCCAACGACTCATCGTGTTATATCCGAATTCGCGTAAAATCGGGGTTTCACTGTATATATATATATATATTATATTCATCTTCTTTTGCTGTAAGTTCACCATCCAATGATGCTGCAAGGTGTGACATTTTACGATACTGAGTGCTAGTGTAGCGGTTGCAATGCTGGAGTGTAATACTGTAATGCATTGCTAATGACTTGTTCGGCTCTCTGTAGCTACAGAGGCAGTGGTCAAGAGAGAACCATCAGGTTGTAGTGAAGTCAACATCATTGCCATACCCTGCAGAGCACAGGCTGTCTGTAGAGGTCAGTACATGTGAACTATTTGTTGTAGTTTTGCAAATAATGTAGTTTATGTTGCATTCTAATATTTTTTTGTTATGTCGGCGTAATAAGAGTCGCATTATTGTCAGCTATAAATAAGTGTTATTTTAAGTTATATTTTTTTTTAGATTGAGGAACGTGTAGCAGAGCATATACGGTTGATGAGGGCAGACTTTGGTAATCACAAAGGAGACTGGGAGCTCTTTGCTGAAGAAGGAGATATGAAGGTGGGTTTGTATAGGAACTAGTTAACATGATTTAATGTCATGTGCTTCAAAGTGGTGCAGGTAGCTTTTATACTGGCACTGTATTGCAATAATGTTCTATTGACCAATATTGTACTGGCCATTATTTAGGCATTGTGCCTTTTTTGTCCTTAATGTAGAGATACGTAGTATCTGTAAGTAATTTGTCATATGTTTCAGTTGTATCGCATGGAGCTGGAGGAAAATGGGCTAGTTCTAGACCCTCTGAGGGCCATGCATGTTGTGAAGGGTGTCACAGCTCATGAACTTTGTCACTATTTCTTCGACATGGGTGTAAGAAAAGACTGGGATAGTAAGTGTACCATTCACCTATAACTAACATTCATCTATTGTCAGTGAACGATGCACAGTATTCACAACTAGTCGCACAGTTAGTTCATCCCTGATACGAACAAACAGTAAAAATCAATGAAACAGTTTAAGCGACAGTTTAATCATTTTTAGCTCATCTGACGTAGTCAGATGCAGCTTGTAGAATCGCATGATCGTGCGTCCGTGCAACCGTCAACAGTTCTTAACCGCTCGACGTACGGTCACGATATTCGGGACGTTGGGGGGGGGGATCGTGAAAAGGACTCAGGATGACAAATTTGGGGGGGCAAGGGTCAAAGGTCAATATGTGTAAACGGAGGGGGAATATTTCCCCCTTAACTTGAGGTATAGGAGGAAATACGGAATTGCGGCACAAATCTTATCAGGTTGACCTATGCTCTTAATATTCGGTGTATAATGTAATGGGCAGGAAACCCATCACCAGTGCGAAATTGGAGGTCACAGCTCAAAGGGCAGTGGGGGAAAGGTCAGATATCAGACATTTTCTGAGGACATGGCCTAATGGACAGAGTGAAAAACTTTTTTGTTTCAGCGCTGACCTACTATTTTTATCACTTTATTGAAAGGACCATGAAATGTGCTTTTCACTGACGTGCGAAGAGTAAGTGTCTGATAACCCTTTGACCCTCAAGAGGAGGGTTAAACATGGATTCGTGAACTGCCTCAATGACGTCAGTGTTGTCATATTTATGGCACATCCATAATCTAGAAACCCAATAAGCCTGAATAGCCGAACGCGTACAGCACAGGCGTCACTGCTCAAAGGTCGTTGGATCGAATCCCATCTGATATTTTATTATTTACCTGTTTTCTGTATTTTTCTATCTTTATCCATTTAACTATTTTTTTCCAATAAACGCAAATATTTACATGATTTATTTACAACAATTTAATAACAACAAATAATTTTTACAACAATTATTTTTTTTTTTTTTTTAATAGGGTTTGGGTTAGGGTCACAATGCACCATAAAACAGGTGTTTCAGGCACGCGATTTGTATCAACCAATGGGATTGGGGAGGTATGCAGAATGCAGAACGTTGCTGAAATGATGTGTACGACTGCGTATCTGCATATCTGCGCCTAACAAAGGTGTCACTACGCACGACTTAAATGTTACGTTTATAACCGTAGCAACAGACCTCAGATGAGCCCAGACGTTCTGCGGCTCTTGTTAGTATTAGTAATTACTGATCCATGGTGAACACAGTGAGGTGGCAAAGGACGAAATTCGATAGAAAGAGCTGTGCATAGTTCTGTCACTTTAACAAATGCTTTGTACCTTGTGCGCAACACCTCTAATGCATTGTACCTTGTACGCACCATCCCTAACGTATTATACCTTGTGCATAACATCTCTAACTTATTGTACCTTGTTCACAACATATCTAACGTATAATACCTTGTTTACCACATATCTAACGTATTGTACCTTGTTCACCACATAGCTAACGTATTGTACCTTGTTCACAACATATCTAACGTATAATACCTTGTTCACATCTCTAACATATTATACCTCGTTCACAACATCTGTAACATATTATACCTTGTGCACAGCATCTTTAGAAAACTCCAAGGTCATCGAGACACTAGCAGCTGATACACTGGTCGAGTATCAGCATCACAAGCGCCTCTGGCCAACGACGGCACGTGATGCCTGCTTCTGGTCTCATATCCGGCAGATCCATGACGACTCGGACTCTGAGAGCCAGCCCATCTGGGTGGTGGCAAACTACTCGACCGAACACCCAGAGGCGCCGGTGAGTGCAGAGTGCGCCGCCTGCACAGCGGGCATTTGTAATGTTGCCGCGCATCATGGATCTTTTGTAACTGTGTGGAAGCTGCGGTGTGTAGTAATGTCCCAGTTACCCCAGTAATATGCCCTGTGTGACTGAATTTGTTTTATCTGTGCAGCCGACCAAGTGCATTCGCATGCTTCTCAACGTAGCATTGATCTGTCAGACAGTTATGGATCCTCCTGGTGAGCATGAACAGATTACACGTGACCACATTACAACCAAGTTGACCTATACATCGCAAGGTAAGTGCTTGACCGACAGGCAAGTCACATTATAGGCAGGATGCATTTGTGTCATGTTTAACAATCATGTAAAAGAACATTCACTCATGCTCACAATCAGAATCCTTTTGTTCTTTTATTGATTAATTACATACACATGTAGGAGCACATAGACATCACCTAATACATTGTTAATACAGGTCTTGGGAAACCAGAAGTCCTGGAATTTTACAACGATATTTTACAGATGTGGAGAGCTCTATAAAATAGGTTATGGGCCTTGGAATTCCTAGAAAATGGGCTTGTATTATGTTTGGCCTTGTAAAATCCTGGAATACGGGCACATCCAGGGTTCTCTCTACGAATGTCAGAAGATATGGCATTTATGGGCAGATGGGAGAAGGCCGGGAGGGGGTTGCACCAATTGTAGTCAACTATTCGTGTCATAAGCAGCCCCAATACACACACAAACTCGATCAGTTCGGAGATGGGTACATCAAGCTGTGGAAGCACAGCTGGAAATCAAGGCATGTCGGAAGATTTATGGGACGTTGCAAAATAGCTAAAGCTTTGAAATCATGTCAGACCCGACTTGGATTAAAGGCCTGGGGAGAACTCTGATGCCAATTGTGTCCGAATTTTACCAATGATAATAACACGTTTAATTTACTGAAGATATACTTCGGTAGACTTTGGTGGACTCACCTATTCTAGAGCCACAAATGGCCTCCTTTTCCCCGAATGCGATTGAACTAATTCAGTGTTCAATCTCTGTTGCAGTGAATCCAGGAGGCTGGGCTCCAGTATCTGTACTCAGAACCATATACAAGCGTGAGTACCCGAGGTTTGTCAAGCGTTTCACACAGTATGTCAAGGACCAGACCAAGGACAAGCCAATCATGTTCTAAGGATTATGAGTTTGGCACCCTTTACTCTGTAGTTACAATTATCACTGAACCATGCATAAGCTCCAGTTTCTAACCACTAGTGTGGAATCATCAAAATTACAATTACTGAGCACTTCAGCTAATCTTGGCAGCTGGAACACAGGCAGATTTCAAAGATTCTTTCGTCAAACCTCTGCAATTAAAGGAACATGCGATATTTCCACGATGCATATCAGCTGGGTAAATGGTTAGAGCCCCAAATGCTTCGACTGCTCTGCTCTTAATATTGCCCCCTGGTTCACCATATAAATTCAACACGATAGGTCATTGAGTAGCTATCACACGTGCAGCTGCAGTAGTCCCTGCTTAGTACTCATGCTTTACCAGTGTCGCTCGCTCACATTCCTGTTGTTACTTCACAGACCACTTCTACTCGTGCGCCTATCACATATAATTGATCATGTTCAATAAATACTCGCATAGACATTTAGCCGTCTGCGTGCCCACCTAAATTAGATTCAATATGTAGTTTGTGGCATTCCAAACAAAGCAGTCCAACCTAGGGGTGATTGTTATATAATAGCTGCTCTCAGCTAGCTTACCCATACTTTGAAGCCAAACCGCAAAAGTATTGCATTGCTGATTAGTCATTTATTGGTTAACATTTATATGAAGATATATACATTTATATGGTTGGCAAATTCTTGCCTATCATTTTGTTTAATCTGTTAATGGTGCTTGTGAATATGCAGGTTAAATGACCGTTAAACAATACTACATTCATGTTCATCATACATTCATGTTCATCATTTTTCCACAATATTTACAACTGAAAGAGAAAAACAGTGCCCATGCATAATAGTCGAGGTTTGCTTAACCCGCCTTAGCCATTGCCTGACATCAAATCTAAAATGCCTTGCGATGTTTTGTAACCACCTACAGTGTTAATAATATCTAGACATGTTCGTTGTTAGTTTTATACACCCTACCCCACGAATAACATTGGATGGTATCGGTGTGTGATGACAATGGAAATTCCAAATGCATGAATGCCAATTGTCATCTGTATCTAAATATGCAATGTTCTGTTGTTCATTACTGTTTGAAATGGGAATACTTGAAAAATTAAAGTAATTAATGTAGTCTAATGACCCTTTTTTTCGGTTACTTTATTTTATACTGGACTCAAGGGGTTTAAATCCACATCAGTAGAACCCACTCCAGGAATCTGGCTCGGTCCAGTTTTTGGCAGTTCTTCAATTGCATAATTTATTTGAAGCAGATTTTTACGACTGTATGCCCTTACTAACATCAACCCGTGATGGGAAGTTTTTCCACACTCTATAAGAACAAGATGCCGTCTGCTAGTATATTTCAACAGACAAGTAAAGGGAAATGGTGAATATACTTAACGAACAGCTGGTGTCCAATGGGGTGGCTGCATAGAACTCTATTGTGAGAATCCTAAATGCTATATTTTGCAGAAAAGAGTATTTTTAAAGAATCTCAGTTTCTCACTAAAAGTTCTGTAGACATGTATATGAAGAAGCCAACTATCATTGATTCTTATTCATTGACGTTAATCGTAAGGGGTACTTTAAAGTATAATGGGTTCATTGTTAGCAACAAGTTATATTTCACTCAGGTTTTGTTTCTCTATATGGACTAAACATGGGTGAAACTGTGGTTATTATTTTTGTGATCATCTGTACTGGCCACCTCACTACTGCTTGTGGTGCTTGTGGTGCTTGGCCCCGATATTAGCATTATTTTTTTGATGTAAATGAATATCAGCTGGTTGACATTTGCATTCACACGAACACGTTTTATACAAAATTGTAGCTTTTCTTTTACCCTTCCAGAACTGAACATTAATGCAGTGATAAAATCTACTGACCTGTTAAAGCAATAGCTAGATTCTACTACATGTATCATAGTAATATACATTTTGAAAGGTGTAATTATGCCTTTCTATACACATGCCTTTCTTGCATGTGTGCTTGTATATGTGGATAAGAAGATGAGAAGAGAGAGAGAGAGAGAGAGTGCGAGAGTAAGAGAGCAAGCAAGAGCGGGAGAGAGAGAGAGAGAGTGCACTATGAGTTATAGTATTTTGTTTTTTTAGTATTAAACACTGTAGTGCATTAAAATGCATCAAACCTGTATCACTAGGTTTGTAAAACATGTGTGGAAATAATCTCAGTTTCAATATCTGATTTTCATTGGATTGTAACAAACTTGTACACTTTGTGGAACCAGTTGAGATTACAGTATGTAGTTCACGGAAGGGTTGGGTAAAACAGCAATGGCCAACTGCAAATGAAATATTTGCCACTGTTTGATATTTAGAAACATCAATCTGCATGTATGATATGTATGATCTACATGTAATTGTACATGAATGATATTTTGTCTCATTATGGAACTAATTGGGATTTTATTTTGCAGATGTGTATATTGTACAATTTAAATTATAACATTAGCTGTGAACTCAGTTCGCAGCAACATCCAGCATTTGAACTATTTCGTCACATTTCATACATTTAGAATCGGTTGAGATTTGGCTATAAGGCCCTGCCACCCTTGTATAAGTTTTGCGAATATAAAGAAATGGTTGATGTTGATATTAGGAGGATGGTGGCAAAGCATGACGATGTTTGAGCATCTGAAAATGGCCAATCTCTCATGTATATACAGCACTAGTTGTAACATTTTGCAATCATGTCATGTTCATAATTTTGTGTACTTCCTGAGATAGGTTCAGCAACATTAAAACAAGCATTAATGTAAAAAGGATTCTTAGGATTAAATTCAATTGTGGCATTTTTATGGTTTCAGATATCTGCAATAAATGGCATATTGTCACAATTGTTCTACCAGAGGACTGTTCATATGTATTTTAATATTTTGTTATCTGGAAAAGTAGTTGATGAAAAAATGTTCAGTTCTATATGCAATTTTTGTTTTATTATTTCGAAACTTTTGTTGGTATTTTAGTTCACCGTCTTCTTTAAACAACAACTATCAAAGATAAGTATATCCATAGTGTAGTATTGATTTGCCTGACGAAAATGGCTAAAATAAAAAATACACAAATCACTACAAAACTTAATGTTTGTTGATAGGTTTTTGCATTTAATTCATATTTCATAAAGGTCTACTATCATTGTCTTTTTCCATGTGTTACAAGGAATAATACAACATGGTGGCATAAGAAAATTCGATGACACGGGTGACTAAATACCAGGACATTCATGGAATAATTCAAATTCACACCAGTCTTAAATTGCACATTGAATTTGCATCAACAATATAGGAGAACCTTATTAGCTTTGTGCAGAATATGTGAATATCCAATTAATAATCCATATAAAGCATACACGTATTTTTTATTATCAAAGCTAATTTTAAAAAGCAGAATTTATCATTTATGAATTCGTACGACTTTCAATTAGATTGTGTACCTATAGAAGTTCGTTACATGTGACTCCTGCAAGTTTGTCTCCCCATTGCTAGATGTCACTGCTGTAACTCTCCCTTGCTAGACGTCACTGTTGCAACTCTGCCACTCAGTAATCTCGTTGCAGCTCTTTTCCTGTACCCTTCCATATCTCATTGAGCACAACCTGGCAATCAAGATCGCGCAGGGCTGCTTTAGCCTCGTCCTGACAACTTGGTAGTGTCAAGTCACGTCGTAACAGACTTTCAGCTCCCAGCTCCAGTATGTGCTCTTTGTGCTGCCTGACACGAGCTACGAAGTTACGAAGGGCCATACACGCTTGCTTCTAAACACAAAGCCAAGGAAAAAAACCACTAAAATATATGGAATTATAATGCTAAAATAATGATTAAATCTGAAAAAACTTGGGTACCATACCTACATGTTTTCTTCAGGATGTGCATACTATAGTAATCTGCATACATTGCAACATCACACAATAATTTAAAACTGCTGTGCTCATTAACCTAGTAAACTGTACAAAACCACTATATCACATGTAGGCTAACTGACCTGCACTCCATTATGCGCAGGATGGTTCTTCATGCACTGCACTACTACTTCTGCACCACCAGCACGGACAATCAGGTCGGCGTGGTCGGGGTTGCGTAGGGCGAGCGTAGCTAGTGCAGCACATACACACTCACAGAGCTGTGTACTTCCGCCATGACTGTTGGGCACCTGGAGTAGAAGACTCACTCCACCAGTCTTGACGACCTCATCCTGTTAATAGTATTACTTCATTCGAGCAATATTATTATAAAATTCTGCTAGTTCATTAAAAAAACAAGTGAATGCAGTAGTTAAAAGTTAAAACAATACCAAACATTACCAAATCCTAGTTATACCTTCCTATCCTACCTTATCCTAGTTTTACCTTATATATATATATATAATTTCATCTTTTTACATACATCTAACTGAAACCAATTTTGCATATATGTAGTTCCTGGTTAGATGATTGATAAATAGGGTGTTGGTGATAGATCATATTATAATGTTGAAATACCTTCACGTTGTCATTTCCTGATGCTGCCTTTATTAAGTTCACTGCCTGTTTCACTAGTATCTGATTTAAAACATGAACAAAAAAACTAGTATTAATTACCAGCACACGTATTTTTATTGCGATAAATTTGCATAGAGTTTCACGCAGTATGAACCCGCACTCTGCATAATAAAAAAAATAATTTGGTATTTTGCTAGTTACTATGTCAGTCTAGGCCATTTATACCTGATCATCTATGCTGTCCAGCAAAACACTATAGCATAGTTTCAGCCCACCCATGTCCACTATATGCTGACAGTACTCATTTCGCACAGCAAGTATGGCAAGGGTTCCTAACACCTCTGCAAGCGTTTCTTTGTCTTGTCTATGTTCTGAAAACAATATTTATGTACAGGTTAGAAGACATAGTAAACATCAATAATAGATTAGAGGATCTTGCATTTTGAATCCAACTGTTTATATACAGGGTTCTGCACTCACCAGTAGCAGCATTTAGAAGTAGATCTAGTGAACAGGCATCCTCAACGATACTCCTGCAGGTGTCATGTGCTTTACCAAATGGAACCCTAATGTCGTCATCGAGTGTGAGAGTCTTGACTGCGATGCACACACTCCGAACTACCATCGGCACTCTGCCATATGCACCCATTGTGTTGAACAGTGCGGGTATCAATGCAGAGCTGACAAACTTCTGCCGGTTTGCCTCGTGCATTATGCAGCTCTGTGTGATGACAGCAAGAAGCTGACATACAACGTCAGGTGCATGCTTGTCCAGCTGTAGCTGCTTCACGAGATATTCTACAAAATCGGAGTCGACAAGATCGGGCTGCCCTGTCAGCAGGGCTGTCACAGTCTCCAAAGCCTGCTCAAATATGGCCGCATTATCCGAGTATTTTTGACAGCAGAGCACCAGAGAAGGATAAGCACCATTGTTTCCCGCATAGCATCGATGAGCTATATCAATCTCACACTTTGAGCGTATAGTGCTGAGTAGGCTAGCGACATGCTGTTCGTCTTCAGGTTGTGCCGAAAGAGCAGAGGACAATTCACTGATGGCATTGAGCAACGGCTTTTTATGGTCGTCATTACCACCGCCATTGTTGCCTTGAAATGTTGTGATAATATTGGTCAGGTCTATTCCCTTGAAAATAAAATACACGCACACAAATTAGCAGCTACTTCACCATATACACATCGGTCATGCATGTACAGGTAATATATTTCACATCGGTAATTAATGCAGTGATATTTAGAGCAACTAACTACTTTTATGAAGGATACTATGTGAAGTACATAATCACAAATTTGTGGTTATTTACTCATGATACTATGATAACATCCTGATAACATCATGAAATTTTTTTTTAATAATAGCATCAAGAGCTAATAAGTGCGTTAAGAAATCGTATTAAGATGAATAATGAATAACCTGGATACTGGATAGTCTAAACCCATCTTTGCCAAAAAGCATGAACATGCATACACACTCGATCGTTCACATACACATGCATGCCCACACACACACTTGTTCACATACAAACGCATGCCCGTACACACACTCGTTCACGTACACATGCATGCCCGCACACATAGATATACAGTCGATATATAATGCATAAGATATAACCTGCTTTGTCGGTTTACCTCCCCAGATAACAAGAAAAAAACATGCTGTCTATTCATGCATCACTCTCACCTGCGATGTGAACTGTTTGATAGCATCTTCAACTGCCTCCTGGTGTTCCATTTCGAATTCATCCTCGTTCTCTTTCACAACATCATCAAATGTCTCTTGCGTTATCCTCTTCATTCCTGCCATTACTATGTTCTTCTTTCTGCTGGCTGAAACTGGAAGATGCCCAGTGTTCAGCTCACGGTTCGACGAAAGTGGGATATCACATTTCAGATGTTGAGCATTCATTAAAGGGATAGTAGACTATAGGATTTTACTACATACAACTGTACTTACTGTATAACAAATCGTCTATACCCACACGTATTTGTTACCAGATACATAATTTAATTGTTATAATTACTTACACATCAACGCTACGAAATTTGAACGGCGCCATGACAACCGCGACCGTGCTGCCACCCCGAAAAAGTTGTGCGTATTTGACAATTTATTTTGCACGTTACAGACCGAGGGCTAATCACAAAAGTGCAATTATATTTATACATAAATGCTATTTAACCAAACGATATTCATTTTAGGGCAAATCTATCCATATTATAACTGAAACTATATGTCGTTTATAAGATATTACAATCCTTTTGCTTTTAAATTAATAAATAAGAAACACCCTCGGTCTGTAGACTTTGGCTAAAAAGTGGTTTTACGCAACTCATCAGATCGTGCGCTTTGAGTGGCGCCACCGTCGTTGTAAATGTAATCAAACTGTAGTAGTTAGTTTTAAAACATTTTTTAATAATATTTCTAATGGTGATTGAACCATGAAACTTTTTATTTAGCGTAATTTTAACCTAAATTAACTGAAAATAACCCTAGAACCTAGAGTAAACGATCCCTTTAACATAAAAAATTTAAACAGCTTCATATTTTTGGTGTGATTTCTTGTTATCCATTACCATCTAATTACTTCAGCAAAAAAGCGTGTATTTAATAATATTAGTGACAGTTAGCATGTATATGGTCGACATTTAAGAAAGTTTACTTCTCATTTTAAAGCAATGTCAAGTATTAGCCCATTTTAGGCAATATTGAAGAAGAATACAATGCTTTATAATAGTGTAGACTAATATAGAATGCAAAACAGCAAACAAGAACATGTCAGACAACTTTAGTTTTAATTTTATTTCTAATTCAGAGAAACTATACATTCATACAACACACATCAGACACCTGCCTGATGATTATAGATTGACCAATTTCACTGTAAATTGAACACTAGACATCTGACAATACCTGGTGGAATTAAACATATTCTGATGAATCAGCTAGGCTCTTGAGTGAGGCCAGATTATAAGCAAGTATAGGATTTATATAATTTAAATTACTATACCATCATTAACATATATATTGAAAGGGCGTTTCACATACTACTAACATGACACACTAAGATGGAGGGTGACATTCTTAATGTCTGCAGGGTTCTATGTTATAATACACTGATTCAGACAGACAGTTTTTAAGCATTGACCATCTAATGAAATCGTTACTGTGTTCAATCATATTTACTGGGCAGTGAGCATTCAGTGGTCATGATGTATCATTGCTTGCCTCTACACTTTGATCCTGTGTCTTTGCTTCCAATATTCGTGTATTGCGCAAGGCTGCTACATAACTGTAGGGGTGCACAGGAAGAAACCCACTAACCCCTGTAAGAAGAAATTGTTATAATCTTATGGATCTGATATATATATATATATATAATATATATACACACAATATATATATAAATATATTTTATGCATGCTCCTCATAAAAATTAAAAACTACAATACTACAGCATGCATAGTATAAATAGCACACGACTGACCAAAGTGCCTATCACCACAAATTTCCTCATTTCAAATTATATTGACATTATATGTAAAACAACGTCGCGCATGACATTCCCTATGGGAGGGGATATGTGTCAAAATTCAAACGTTCAATTGAACAGTCAATTTAATCATTCAAACATTCAATTGATCGATTGATTGTTCAATTGAACAGTCAATTTAATCATTCAAACGTTCAGTTGATCGATTGATTGTTCAATTGAACAGTCAATTTAATCATTCAAAAACATTCAATTTTCGATTGCATGTTTCAATTAAACAGTCAATGTAATCATTCAACATTCAATTATTCGATTGATTGTTTCAAATTGATCGATTTGATTGTTCAATTGAACAGTCACAATTAATCATTCAAACGTTCAATTGATGTAATGTATCAATTGTCAATTGATTACTAATGATCCAATTTGATTGTTCATATTGAACAATCAATTTAATCATTGCACAACATTCATTGACAATCAATTTAATCATTCAAACTTCAATTGAAAGCAATCAATTTAATCATTCAACAATTCATTGAACAATCAATTAAATCATCAAAACATTCAATGCTGAACAATAAGTTTAATGCATTTCACAACATTCAATTGAACAATCAATTTAATCATTCAACATTCAATGCAGCAATTGATTGTGTCAATTGAACAATCATTTAACATCAAACCATTGCAATTGAACAATCACATTTAATCATTCAATCTTCAATTTGAACATACAATTAATGCATTCAAACATTCAATTGGAATCATCAATTTAATCATTCAAACATTCATTGAACAATCATTTACGTGACATAACGTGACAATTTACGTGAGTGTATGTCGCGCTGTACCCGCGTGTACGTGCGTGTACGCCGCGTGTACGTGTGCGTGTACGTGGTTTACCCACGTGTACTGTGCGTGTACATGTGTGTACGAGCGCGTACCCGCTGTTGTACCGCGGTGTATTGTGCGCGTGACGTGCTGCCAGTGCGTGACGTGCGTGCACGGTGCGTGGTACCCGCGTTGCCACGTGCGTGCACCCGGCTGTGTAACTTGCTTGTGTACTCGCGTGTACGTGCGTCGTGTACCCGCGTGTACGTGAGTGTACGTGCGTGTACGCCGCGCGTACGTGCGCGATACGTGCTGTACGGTGCGTGTACGGGTGCGCGTGCGTAAGCCCTCGCGTAGTGATTGCCCGTTTATGCTTGTGACTCGGCGTGTACGCTGCGATGTACCCGCGTGTAGCGACACGCACGTAACCCGCGTGTACCGTGCACGCACGTGCGCGCGGGTACACGCACGGGTGTGGCGCGGTTACACGCACGTCACACGCGACGTACATGCGGGTACATCGGTAGATACACGCCCGCACACGCTGGCGTCACGCACGTACACGCAGGACACGCAGATACACGCAACGTTACCACAGCGAGTACTCGCACAGTACACCGGGGTACACGATGCGATCCCAGTGACGGGTACACGCAACGTGCACGACGTACACGCGGGTACACGCACGTACAAGGCGGTACAGCCAACGTGCACGCTGGGGTACACGCACGTGCCGCAGTACACGCCACGTACACGCGGGTACACGCACGTAACGCGGGTATCACACACTTAGCTGGGGACGTTGTCGCCGATTGCGTTTCTAGCAACGTACGTGGCTACCGACGTTTTCCGCATGTCTCTTATCTTCTCTGCGGCATGTGGGTATTAATTTGGCGATATAGCGGGGCCTCGGCGATGTGCTCCATTGCCTGATTCATACGCTATTCAATTGATTCAATTTGGCCAATTCATTATTTATGCTCATGAATGTTTGAATGATTAAATGATTGTTCAATGAATGTTTGAATGATTAAATTTGATATGTTCAATTGAATGTTTGAATGATTAAATGATGTTCAATGAAATGTTTGAACTGAATTAAATTGATTGTTCAAGTTGATGATTGAATGATACAATTGATTGTTCATTGAATGTTTGAATGATTAAAATTGATTGCTTCAAATTGAACAATTCATGATCAATGAACGTTTGAATGATTAATTGACTGTTCAATTGAACAATCAATCGATCAATTGAACGTTTGCATGATTTAAATTGACTCGTGTTCAATTAAAACAATCAATCGATCAATTGAACGTTTGAATTTGACAAATATCCCTCCACTTATGTAACGGGTGTTACGGTGCGTGTAGTGCGGTACGCGTGTACTGTGCGTGGTCTCCGCCGGTGTTAGCGTGATGTTTTACGTGCGTGTACCCGCTGTGTACCGTGCCGTGTACGTGCGTGTAGCGTGTGCTGTGTACCGGCGTGACGTGCGTGTACATGGCGTGTACGAGCTGTACCCGCGTGTACGTGCGTGTACCTCGCGTGTACGTGCGTTTTGTTTTGCAATTGAACAATCATTTTAAATCATTCAAACAATTCAATGAACAATGCAATTTAATATTTCAAACATCTCAATTGAACAATCAACTTTAATCATTCAAACATTCAATTGAACAATCAATTTAATGCATTCCAAACATTTCAATGAACAATCAATTTAATCATTCAAACATTCAATTGAACAATCAATTTAATTCATTCAAGTCATGCAATGAGAACATTGATTGTCAATTGAACAATCATTTAATCATCAAACATTTCAATTTGAACAATCAATTTAATCATTCTAATGTCATTAATTGAACAATCATTAATCAATTCAAACATTCAATTGAATCAATCAATTAATGCATTCAAACATTCAATTGAACAAACATTTACGTGGAACAAACGTGACAATTTACGTGAGTGTATGTGCGTGTACCCGACGTGTACTGCTGCGTGTACGCCGCTGTACGTGCGTGTTACTGCGTTTACCACGTGTACGTGCGTGTACATGGCGTGTACAGACGTCGGTACCCCGTGTACCCCGCCTGGTAATGTGCGCGTACTGTGCGTGCAACTGTGCGTGTACGTGCCGTGCACGTGCGTGTTCCGCGCTGCAGCGTGACCGTGCCCCGCTGTGTACTTGGTTGTGTACTCGCGTGTACGTGGTGTACCGCGCTGTACGTGCGTGTACGTGCGTGTACCCGCGTGTACGTGCGCGTACGTGCGTGTACGTTGCGGTGTTACGTGCGTGTACCACCGTGCACGTGCGTGCACGACCGCGGTGTACTTGCTTGTGTACCGCCGCGTGTACGTGCGTGTACCGCGCGTGTACGTGCACGCACACGTACGCCGGCGGTTACCGTGCACGCACGTGCGCGCGGGTACACCACGTGTGCGCGGTACACGCCGTACACAGCGCGTCAATGCGGGTACTACGGAAGATACACGCCGCACACAGCGGGTACACGCCACGTACACGCCAGTGTACACGCAGATAAGCACGCACGTACAGCTGCGAAGCTACTCGCACCGTTAAACCGGCGTAGCAATGCGCAGGTGGCACGGGGTACACGCACGGTGCACGGCACTTAACGCGTACACGCACTAGCACGCGTCACCCGACGTACAGCGGGTCACACGCACGTGCACCTGGGTACCGCACGTACACGAACGAACGCACGTACACGGTCACGCACGTAAAACGTCGGGTACATTCACCTTGCTGGCGGAACGTTGGCCGATTGCGTTTCTGAGCTAACGTACGTGCTACTACGTTTTCCGTCATGTCTCTTATCTCTGCGGCATGGTGCGTTTAATTTGGCGATATATCGGCGGGCCTCTAGCGTATTGCTCCATTCCATGATATCAATACGCCTATTCATTGATTCAATTTGGCAATTCATCTATTTAATGCTGCAATTGGATGTTTGAATGATTAAATTGGATTGTTCTCTGTTGAATTGGTAAATTGTTGTATATGTATTTAAATTGCATTGTTCAATTGAATGTGTGAATGATTAAATTGATTGTTCATTGAATTTGTGAATAATTGATGTAGATTGAATGATTGAATGATTAATGATTGTTCAATTGAATGTATGAATGATTAAAATTGTATTGTTCAATTGACAACAAATTGATCAATTGGAACGTTTGAATGATTAATGACTGTTCAATTGAACAATCAATCGATCAATGAACGTTTGCATGATTAAAGTTGAGCTGTTCAAATTAAACAAATCGAATCGATCAATTGAACGTCTTGATTTTTGAGCACATATCCCCTCCCATATGTAGTGCGTGTACCCTTGCGTGTTACCTGCGTGTACCCGCGTGGTGTACCGGCCGTAGTACGTGAGTGTACGTGCTTGTACCCGCTGGTGTAGTGCGTGTACGGCGTGTACTGCGTGTTACGTGCGCTGACGTGCGTGGTACATGCGTGTTACGAGGCGTGTACCCGCCGTGTACCGTGCGTGTACCCGCGTGTACGTGCTGTGTGGGCGTCTGCGCAGTGCACGAGTCTGCCTGCGTGTACGGTGTGTGGCACGTTGCGTGTACCCGCGTGCACGTGGTGCACTACCGCTGTACTGTCGTTGTTACGTGCGTGTAACGCCGCGCGTGTATGTGTCGTGTACCCGCGTGTACTGCGTGTACCGCGTGTGACGTGCGCGTACGTTGGCGTGCACGCTGCACTGTACCGTGCGTGCCGTGCGTGTACCCGCGTGCACTTGCGCTGCGCACCGCGTGTACGTGCGTGTACGCCGCTGTACGTGCAGCGCTACGCAGTCCGCGCGCGGGTACACGCACGTACATCCCGGGTACATGCGGGTACACGTGAGATCGCGCCGCACACGCGGCGTATTACGCAGGTACACGATGTACCGCAGGTACACGCCACGTACACGCGAGTACTCGCAGCGTACACGCGGGTTACACGGCATGGTGCACGCGTAGCACGCAGACGTGCACGCACGTACACGCATACTGTACACGGCGGTCACGCAACGTACACGCTGGTACACGGCAGGTACACGCACAGTGATGCGGGGGTACCACGCACAGTGGCACGCATCGTAACGCGGGTAACGCACGTAAACGCGGGTACAGCACACTTAGCTGGGAAACGTTGGCGGCGATTGCTTTCTAGCAACGTACGTGCTACCACGTTTCCGTCATGTCTCTTATCTTGGCATGTGGGTTTTAATTTGGCGATATACGAGCCTGCGGACGATTGCTTCAACATTTCCATGATTCAATAGCCTATTCATCTGATTATTGGCAATTCATATTATTAATTGCTCAATTGAATTTGTTTTGAATGATTAAATTGACTGTTCAATTGAACAATCAATCGATCAACTGAACGTTTGAATGATTAAATTGACTGTTCAATTGAACAATCAATCGATCAATTGAACGTTTGAATGATTAAATTGACTGTTCAATTAAACAATCAATCGATCAATTGAACGTTTGAATGATTAAATTGACTGTTTAATTAAACAATCAATCGATCAATTGAACGTTTGAATTTTGACACATATCCCCTCCCATAATTCCCAGCCACTTAGCTTGCAAAGTAATGAGGGTGATAATAGAATAAACTTGCCTAGCAATCGTGCTGCAGGTTTCGAAAACCTTGCTCCCTGTGACATCCAGTACCTTAGCCTCTCAAAGTTCACAGCAACAAGTTTCTCATTGTCAGCATTTGGCATGGGATCAAATGTTCCTATCTGTTCAAGTGGCTCATAGTTTCTTGCTCGTTTGTGCTGGATTGCAACAAGGTGATAGAACGGCCGGTTGGTACACCCATGTCGTGCTAACCGTATCGCTATAACCATGATTCCTTGATAAAATTACCTGAAAAATGGCACACACTAAACTGACAATAGAAGAAAAAAACAATAAAATGTTAATATGATTAGAGCAGAGCACATTAACTAGCTTCTAACAACACATTCTGTTCAAATATTCTTCATAAGTGTACTACATACCGATTTGTTAATGTTCAATTGTAACTAGGAGTAGGAGCTAGTTAATATCTGATTTCAAAATGGCAAGACTATAGTTTGTTTATTTCAACGAGTGGGGCTATTGCTTGTGAAGCCTCTCGTGATCAGATTCGTGCCATGTTTTAACTATTCCATGAGCAGAACATCAGGTATCTAGACATTACATTTACAGTGTTTGCAATTACATTTGCCTGCAAGATAAATCAATGTATCAGAATGGTACAGCACTGGCAGCATTAAGAGTAGTGCAGTGGCAGCAGTGCAGTAGTTAGGTAACAGGTGTTGTGTAGTCTGTGATATCTCAATAGACAATGGTCACAATACCATATATAGAATTTAATGATTGAATGCTAAACACGTTAAAATAACGGTGGTATTTTTTCCATAGTATTGTGCAATAATGTATATCAGATTCATAATTACATTTCTTTCTTGATTCTACTTGATTGCTTATTAAAGTTATTGGTTTTGTAGCGCTACCTGTGTGAAGGGCTACATGGGTAGAGATGCTGGTTTTAGTACTCGGATGCACAGGCACTTATCTCAGACTCAATAATAATAAAATGATAGTGAATAAATTACGCAGTCGCAGTGGCTACGCATCCGGTTACCGGACGCCCAACTCCCACGCTACGCGTCCGGGGCGGTTATCCATTTCACGCATTACAATTTGCTCAGCACAGATTCTCAAAACTACGTCACGATTAGGCACACGATTTCAAATAGAATCGAATACGATGTTTATTTAACGATACTTAACTACGACATTACTCGGTTTTTATCAATCGGTAAGTAATACATGGTAAAAACTTGTTTAGTTGAAATAACGCTAAAAATTAAAAAACTGCTGGGCATTTAGGAAATCGAAGACCGTGCCCGGCAGCCGTCAGATATATGCCGGCTGCCGGGCATATAGCCACTCTGAATAAATAGAGTCGGTCGGGAAACGTTAACCACACCTATATTTTGTTTTGGCCTAACCATAACCCTATTACCCTAACTCTAACCATAACCTAACCCGACCAGGCTGTGTGACTAACGTCAATACACCTAGTCATTGCTAGGGTATTCTAACCCTAGCAATACCGTTTCTTGGAGCTAACCATAACCCTAACCCTAACACTAACCCTAACCATATCAGCTAGATAGTTAGTAATAGTAATCATCACACTGTCACAGTTAGCTCCAGAGAACGGTATGCTAGGGTTAGATACCGTTTCAGATTCTTGCCCACAATTCTTGTAGTTGGCTCGGTATCCAACCATCGACACAGACTAGCGTCACATGTAATAGCCTCAAACGAATCTATAAACCTCTGCTTGTTCGCGGTAACTGGGCGCTACTGGCGCTCTTATTTATTGAGTTATGCCGTTTTTCTGAGATGAATTTGATCAAAACAACCAGACAGCTGCCATGTCGCCAGGTTCAGCTGCCAACTAAAATCGGCAATGACCTGATTTTCACAGTGCGTAGGCCAAATACAACGCAAGTACAGTATCTTCGCAATGATAATATTAAGTTGTTGTAGATTGACGATTCCTGGTTTTCAATGTTTTAATATTTAATATATATACAGGTATATATATGATGCTTCTTTATGCTCGCCGCCAACGCGCAAGTAGCAACGCTATGGTATGTTATGTCGTTTCGG